CTCTTCGGTTGGATGTCGAAACCGATGGACATGAATCATTTTCATGGAAACCTAGGAGTTTTAATTTCTTTGGTGTGTGCTTGATCTGTTGGTGAAACCCTCAGGTCGTTTCGATGTATATTCATTGAGTTATGAATTTTTAAAAACGGTCGTGCTGCTGGATTTTGTAAAAATAATTATAAATTGAATACTTGGCCAAATTGCTTGAAATCTTATATATAGACCTCTCTGTTGATGCATTATGTTGTGTAAAATTTTCAAATTAAAATTCCTCCTGTAGCTATGTGAAATGCCGAATTTGAGTTCTGGTCAGAATATTGAAAAATAGAGATAAAATACGAGTTTGTAATGAATTTAGATGTGAAATTTTGTGGAGTGTATTATTCTGTTATCATGTTAGTTGTGTCAAAATTTCATGTGAAAATTTAAAGTTTTGATTGGGGCACTAGGAATTTCACGTTATAGCTGAATTTTTGTAAAAACTATTTGGCTGGGTTAAAATGAGGGTTAAGGGATGATATCTGGTGTGTATGTGTATTTCTGGATGTTCTATAATGTGGTAAAGTTTTGTTGAAAATAGCCAAGTACTTTTTGAAAAGATCCGGTAGTTATCAATTCTAGTCTATTTTCCCGACAGCACCCAACCGAGCTTTGTTTTGGATTTTTTTTTGACTTGGTTGGCTTCCTATTTACTCATCACTATGTTATGCATGCTTTATGTGTTTTTAGTGATGTTTATATGGTTTATCGAGTCTAGACGGTTAGCCGTAAGTTCTAATCTCCATTAGGAATTCCACGAATCACTTAGTCGATACGATTTCAGCTAAGTGAATGTTATTGTTTATCGTGCTATCTCTTGCTTATCGTGCTATCTCTTGCTTCGATCCAGATGGGTTTATTTAAAATTCTATGCAGTAAATTGTTGCCTTACTTGAGGTATGATCAATGTATGCATGTGAACCATGTAGCCTTCGATGTGAGTTGATCCGGCCGTCGAACGGTTATCCCCGTAGCTATAGAACATACCCGTCGAGTAGTCTCCTTTTTGGGAGCCGTAAGACCAGGGCATGGACCTTTGGCCGGTGATCCCCGTTGGTAAGACCAAGGCGAGGCCTTGGCTGGCGGGGTGGATTTACTCCTACTAGCTTGACATCGTTGTAAGACCCGAAGGGCATTCGATATTTTTCTCGCAGTAGTCTATGCGTAGGTGTGCATATGAGTCTTGATTTTGATATTATGATGGAAGATGAGATATATAATTGCATCGTATACATGCTACGAACATACTTAACTTATCTTATGATTACTGTTTTATCTTATGATTAATGTTTATTACATAGTGGTGCCACGAATTCCATTTGTGCTCACCCCCACCTGTTTCTTCACGGATGCAGGTTAGACAGGTTGTGGGCACGGCGGAGTGGAGCGAGTGGGGGTCGGTCTATATGACTAGATCATTTTATTTGTTCCTTCCGCTATTTTGAACTTATTTATGAATTTATGAACTTAGGATATTATGAATTTGGGATTTATGAATTTGAGATGACTTGAAATAATGTTGGGTAATGCCTTTGACACTGTGATGGAACTTGAAAACCCGGTTTGAGTATTTATGATTTGGGATGAAACTTTGATGAAGTATCGATTTATGTTTGACGTCATTGTGATGACTGCTATTTATGATATTGGATTTGGTTTTGAAAATGAGTAACGCTACAAATGTTTAAATTGAGATTTAAAAATTATTTTGATTTTCCTAAAAGTCCAAAATTTCTTTAAAATCAAAGTGGGGCGTTACAGTACCCTTGGGAACCCAAAATTGTTCGTTGTTTGAAGGGAAAACTCGACTGTATAAAGGTTTATGCATGTCACGTATTCCGTTGCACAATAATTAAGAGAATATGCAAAGTCCTACAAACATGAACAATATAACGACAAAATAGTTTACA